GTATTTCACGTGAATTATTTGGACTTACTTCGTGATGCACCAGTGTGTTGTGACACACCGGTTGAGAACCACGGGTGTATACTATACGTATTATTACTATTCTTTGTGAAAATTGGGATGTGAACCGGAATAAAAACATATACTACTATGTTGTCCAATTTCACAGTCGATTTGATCACTAGCGTTCTGCCCAATCATCTTAGAAATTTGGATTTTACCTCTTGTGAAAAAAATAAAAAATTAAAAAATAAAATATATCACAGATAAACTTTGATTTCATTTATTTATTTTAGTAATTTAAATATCACCTCTGATCACATAATGTTTTCATTCAAGTTTTATATTGTATGTATTTTAATTTTCCAAAATAAAATTTTCATTTTAATCATTATTTATATTTTTCAAAATATTTATCTGTTCAAAATAATACTATGAATAAATAGTAAACACTAAGCTAAATTTCTTGCTGGTTAGGAAGTTAATACATTTAATTTGGAACATAAAAATAATATTTTAAATTAGTTTTATAATCAATTTAACATTTTATTTGTGTGATTTTTACGGAAAAATTTTAAATTATCTGTTATTAATACTTAGTTATATAATTATATACATATATCTATTTTTTTTTTTTACAAATACTAATCATTAAATATTTTTTTAACATCTTAAGTCTTTTAAATACTATAATGAATTACGACTATCAATTTATATATTTAATAAAAACTGATTAATTATTAAGGACTTCAAAAATTAAAATTAAAAAACTAGTGTTTTTTTCGTATGACTAATTTAGTCTAATATAGTTTAATATAAACGAGTAAATAAGTTATTAATAATTAATATGATCCAATATATATTCGTATAGTATTTCTTGGAAATTTTTTTTATTTTTTTTTTAGATAAAGTATTCATAATAATTAATAAGCAATACTGGGCAAGTTTTTTTTTAACTGGTTAAGTTAAATTATTTTAAAATAATAAAGTTAAGTTAAAATTTACTCATATTTTTTTTTGTTAACTCGTCAAGTTAAAAATTAACTTTGAAAAAAGTAACTCAACTTAGTTTAAAATTAAAATTTTCTAATTTGCAAACTTGAAAAATTTCAGACACATAATATTGTTTATTAGATAGTTTTTTTTTTATGCTCAAAATAATTACTAAGGAAATTTAAAGGCCAATATAGATTTAGAGTTATCATACTCATTATTGATTGTTAATTAATCAACGGTTGATATTTTTAATGTAAATTTTTTTTTAATAATAATTTCTATGAATTTTTAGAAAATTAATTGAATGCACAATTTACATAATTTGTTGAAATTCTATAGAATAGCAGTTTGGATCAATACACGCTAAATTTTCTACTATCATATAGAACATTTTAATTTAAGATCTTATCCACGATAACTTATTGAAAAGTCTTTACACCAGTTATACATCTGACTAAATATATTGAGTATAATATTATATACTTAACATTTTTGGTATTATACACATAAATATGTAATTATGTACATAATATAAAGCTAGTAAGTAGATTTTTTTTTGTTTTTATTAAGATTTATTTAAAACAATAATTTATCTATAATATTAAAACAATTACTTTTATATTTATTTTTAGAAAATATTTCCCTATGTAAAAGATAAAATACCTTTACTTTAACTGATTTATTTGTGCACATATTTGCAATTGAAAAAATGTTGACGTACTCTATGGTTTACTATACTTGCATTTCTATTTTTATTGAACACATTTATGTATGCAGTAAATTTTCCTATACAACGTGCCATGATTTCAAAATGAATACTCACTATATAATATTCATCGTTTGATAAATTTTAATCAAATTTATTTTTTATATTTCTTTAAATATTCTAAGTTAAGTTATTTGGTAAGAATCTAAGTTTATGAAAAAAATACAAAATATTTATATTAGAAAATAATAATCTGTAATTTATAAGGCTAAAAATATGGTTGTACATTTTTTTTAAAAAACGAAAATATTACGTAAAACATAGATAACCATATTCTCTATTTACTGATTTTAATTATAAATCCTATATTGCATATACTGTAATATATATTGCTATACCAGCCTACTGGCTGCAGATTATCGAAGTATAATTACTTATAGCATCTTTATTAATACATGTTTTAAAATTTTAAAATTTGTAAAATACATAGTTAAAGATTTAATGATTTAATTTATATTTCAAATTAAAAAAAAAAAAAATCTTTTATAATAATATTGTGTTATTCTATAGTTAATAAAATGTTTGAGGAAATGTATATTCAGTTTATCAATTTTGTTTTATGTAGGTACTGAGTGTCGAGATGTGTAGGGGTATAATTCATGTATTGTAATATTTATATATTATCAGTATATATGTAATAAATTATTTAGAACGGTTCAAATAAATATAAATGAACGCTTTTGTATTTTTATCATTATTAGTAGTACTTTTTTTTTTTTTACGAATCTCTATTTACTAATCCGGAATACGTTCAGTAGTTATAGCCAATGGGAATATATTTATATATATATATCTGAGACCATAAATTAAATGAAAGGGCCAGGAAGTTAATAAACTTCCAGTTACAAAAGGTCGTTTCGCATAAACATGGTCTGGAAAGGGAACAATATTTTTTATGAAACTAATTTATAAGTTTTATTTTTTTGTAAAAATTGTTGGTACTGAGTTTAGTGGAACAATGTATGAAATGATTTTAATATTTACGCTTTGTTTAACATTTAAGCTAAAAATTAACTTTATTATTTAGAAACATTTATAATGTTTGTAAAGTAAAATATATTAACGATATTGAAAGATGAGTCTAATAATTAAATAAGTTAAAGTAATAAATAAAAAAATGTATCGTTGGTTAAATATGTTAGCTATAAAGTAATTTTAAAAATGTAATAAATGTAAATGCTTATAAAAAGTATTGTGATATTTGCAAATTATTAAATGATTTACCTTTGAAAAATATTTATACCTGAAATTAAATTTTCAAGTAAAAATTCTCAGTACTTTTATTTACAATCGGGAATAAAAAAAAAAAAAAAATTAAGTAAAAACGAAAATTTTAAACAGTTTTTACTTTTTTGTGTGTAAATCAAAAATGAATAAATATAAATATTTCAAATTTACACTAAATATTTATATTATTATTTTTCATTTACGATTACATTTAAAAAATATTTTGATCAATGTTAATTTATTTATAGGCATAAGATTTTTTTATTTTTTTCTCCAAAAATATCGATTAAAAATTATTAACTTAGTAGAAATGCTTGAAGATTTAATAAAAAGCTCCTCATAAGTAATGAATTTCTTGATTAAAATATAAATGTCAATACACAATTTTTTTTAAGCGGTTTAAGTTAAAATTTTTACAAAATATTCAAAAAACTATTTTGTAGTTAGAACTTCAATGATTTTTTATTTTTATTTCTAAAATTTTATAATACGTATATGGGTTTTTATGAGTTTTACAACCTATTGATGAAAAACCAAATTAATTGTTTATAAGTATTTCGATTTCAAATTTTTACAACATTTAATATTCACTCTAAAATAACTATTTGTCCTTAAACAATTTTTAATATTCTGTTGCATTTAAAAAAAAATAAGAAAAAATAAGATAAGTAAGTAGATATTATTCTGTGGTATATTAAGTGTCGAGTGATGCACTATTATGATTGTGTTAAATTTAATTTAAATACTATAGCATTGTTTATAAAATGCTATCTGTCATTCTATATTACTTATTATATTTAATGGTAATATTTTTTTTGGATAAAGCTCTTAAAGTCATTTTTTTTATTTTCATTATTATATTAGATTGGTACATTTTTTTCCGAAAATATCGCATTTATTTTATTATTATAATGATATATATTTTTACCAGATTATTTCAAATTATTATATGATTCAAAATTTAATTACATATTTTTTATAAATACAATTACAAATAATATTTTTAAATTACAACAAAATAATTAATACACTTGTATACCTTTAAATAAATAATTTTATCTAAATTTAAAATTATAAATATCTTTTAAAAAGTAATTTATTTTATAAATTGATTAGACTTTATGGTTTTAATATGAACTACTTATGATAAATCTTGTATTCAATTTTCAAATAATAGATATAAAAATAAGGGTTTATGTGAATTTCTTATCACAAAATAGTTAGAAAATTAAAAATAAAAACAACTTAATACTTTTAAGTTTTTTGTTCAAAATTAGACAAAATTTCTTGTTTAAAGAAATATAATAAAGTTAATTATTCTTTTTAAATTTAAAAACATTTGATTATTTGTGAGAACTTAAAATATTTACATTTATTATATTATTATAAATTATGCTGATTGCAAGGAAATATTTTATTTATTTTAAGATGATATTTATTATTTTATGAATTTATTTTTTTGTTTTAAAGTAATTATAAAAATATTTCATTATATTTTGAGTTATTCATATAAGTTGATATAATATAGTATAAATATATATATAATTATAATATTAAATATTAATAATATAATAAATCTAATATTATCTAAAATTTTATCAATCCACCATAATACTAAAAGTAAAATAAATGACTTTAAGAACTATATAAAAAATATATCATAAAATAAGCTTAGTTACGTATATAGAATGACAGAATGTCTTCGCTCAGAATCGTTTATCGTATACAATAATATATCATTGAATTCAAATTTAACACAATCATAATAGTGACCTTCTTGACGCATAATGGGTATAGCAGAGCTGTACCCACTCGGCTACCTTTTTTTATAGTTTGATTTTCCAGTTGATGTCTGAAAATTGCATATCATCATCTATTATATTTTAGCCAATAAAAGCTAAGACTACTAAGAACATTTCACTCCAATCAATTAAGTACGATAACATTAAAAACAAATATTTTAATTTGACTATTCTACTATTTAATAAGCACAAATTGTGTTTGCATTATTAACCTTTTGTAGAAATTCCAGAATCAGATTGTACTATTTTCGACGTCAATATGTACCAACAGCTTAGTACGCCAAGCAGACTGGAGAACGTTTTCATTATCAATGTATTTTTTAATCGCACTTTAAGAAGATGTTGTTCTACCGGTTGACACAACAGAAGTTGAAAAATGCATTATATTTATTGAACGAAGCCGTCTTAAGAACTCTTCCAGTAAATGTGTATTGACATTACAAACACAAATTTCCAAACTGAAATAAAAGTATAATATTATTTAAAATAATATTTTTTATATATTGCCTATATGGAACATTAACTAAGTTTTGTATTATTTAGATATCATCCTAACTTAAAAAATTTAATTTATTAAAATTAACCAATATCTAGTAGTAGAAATATTTAAAAAGTTTTGTGTGACTCTATCTTTTGATAAATGTGTTCATTTACTCAATACTTTAAAATGAAAGTTAGTGTTTAAATTTCTACAGAAATGACTAATATTCATAAACGTAAGAAAAAATTTTACAGCACTATAGATGTTAAACAGTTATAAATTTAGTAACTTGTAGTGTTTTAATACTTCTACACTTAATACTTATTTTGTAAACTTTTTAAATTGAATTTTCGGAGTAGTTTTTTTTTATATATTCATATACGATAATTTATTAAATTAAAATTTTTAATTGAATATAACGTTTTCAATAACTATATTTTTCGTATAATTTAAACACTCACTTTTTTATATTTTAAATTAAAACAAAATAATGTTATGTAAAAATCAGCAATTACTTTCATATTTACAAATATTTATGTAAACCTATATTTTTATTAATTATTTTATATTATATTCTAAACTTAAGATCACTTATATTTTAATCAATGATGAATATTATATTTCAAGCTTATTCTAGTTAATATTTAATTTAAATACTCATAATTAATGCTTTCCTAGATGTAGCACAAGTCTTTGATCGAGTCTGACACAAAGGTCTCTTCTTCAAATTAAAATCTATTCTTTCCTCATAATATTATTTATTATTTAAAACTTATTTGTAAAACAGACATTTCATCAAAAGAACAGGATTGCTCATGACTGAAATATCATCAATCAATGCTAGAGTACACAAATGAACTATTACAGCACTTTTATTATTTAATCTTTTTACCTTTTACCAACCTACTACGCTCAACACTACCACTGGAAACTTTGTCGACTATGACTCTGAGACAACCTCAAATCACATCCAAAAATCATCTTAACTTGTAATCCAGTATAAATAATAAGGGAAAAAAGTTAACGAAACAAAATCCATCCAGTGCACATTTACATTAGAACTAAAAGACTACTCTCTTGTATACCTTAACAACGTACCCCTACCAACTGCTTAAAATGGTGACCGCCGTCGTACCTGGACAACCCATTTTTACCTTGACCGTTTTATCTTAAACAACTGCTCTTACCAATTATGCAACTTACTTACATCAAAACATCTTAATCTTAAAAATAAACTCCATACACACAAACTATATGGACCTAAAGTATACTACTCTGGAAAAAAACTAAGCACTCTAATATCAATAAAATAAAAAATTTTCAATCCAGATGTTTCTACTGGTAAATAACAAAAACTTTGTACTACGTCTCTCATGATATTTTCCATAAATACCTATCCATCCAAACAGTTCTAAACATCGTTAAAATCTTTTATAAACGTCTTTATTACAATACATATAATCATAAAAATCCATTGATATCTAAACTTTTTTTCTATATTATCCCAAAGGATCCCAGAAAATGCTTAAAACGAACATGGTATTTAGACCAACTGACTGATTAACCACCAAAAACCACACACTCTAAAGTTTCAACACTGGTTGACATATCTACACAAACTTACTGTCCTAAAATTGTTATATATATTTTTTTTCTTTATAAATATTTATATATTATTAAATACCTTCACTATAACTTCTACCTATTGTAAAAAAAAAGTTTTCATTTCTGAGGTAAATAAAAAATACGCTATAATGTACTAAAATATTATCTTATTTTATTTTTTATTATAATTACAGTTATAAAAATTGAGTTTTTGCTTATATTATTTTTTTTTTTTTTTAATATTATAATACAATATTTATTTTGTGTGAGTCTTCACGATAAATAACGTAAATAATTTAATATTGTTAAATTTTATTTAGAATTCAAATTATGCAAATCCATTAGTCATATATTAAGCTAATATATGCTACCCAATATTTAGAGTCCTTTAATAATTATATCAGGCTTACGGATTTGGGTTAAGTAAGTCATCATTACATTATAAAAATGTATAACATATGGTGTAGTTACTAAAAGTTGTAAGGAAACATGTATATAGATTTATATTATATTATATTTGAATAATGAACATTATTTAATGACTATAAAAAAATGTCTTTAAATTTATATGTACCTATTATACAAAATGAACTAATTTATTTCTGTAGCTCGTAAAGCCTAGTTAAAAAATAATATTTAGCTAGCCATTGATGATCTGCCATTGATATTTATTATATAGTTCTAGAAAGTTTTAACTATAAACTACAATAACAAATTACGGCTGTGACTATACTTTTATTTAAAATTACAGATGCTTATCGTGTGACTTTTTAACTAATTTTAATAATATCAAATGTAAATTAATTTTAAACTAAATAATCTCTTTTTTTTAAGTTTATAGATATGGCTACTATTTATATTAATACTAAAGGTAAGGTTTTTATTTTTATTTTATTTATCTTTTCGCATATCAGTCAACGAATAAATTATCCTAGAATTAAATATTAATGATCCAAGTATTCTAAATCTTTATTCTACACGTGAAGAAGAATAAACAATTAAAGCAACTAATGTTACATTTTAATTTTCGCTAATTGTTAAGATTTGGTTTACGTCTAAAAACACCTAATCTTTCAATCTATTATATATTAATGGAGAAGAAATTATGCATAGATTTAAGTTATGTAGGCACGTTTTATAAAAGCAGAATACAAAATATATATAAGCTATATTAAATATTATCATATATCAATTAGTATTTATAGTTACAAATCTGTTTATGTATTAGTAAATAAGGTTAGGTCATGTAAAATTTTAGATTATGCTATCATCACATAGCATTATTAAAAAAAATATTTTCTATGTGATGACTTAAATTTTGCTCCATAAGATATACTATTAATACTCATTATGTTATAAATTAAAAGTAATTAAAATCTTGTTATAATTATAAGGAATTATTATCTATAATTCAATTTACAATTAATATTATTTTTTTTATGTTTTACTTATTAATCATAATTTTTATAAAACTTTGTTTGTAACCTCAATGGATTTATAATATTAAAATATACAGCCTTTTAAAAATATTTAAAATAACAAGAACACTTTAATGGTTCAGTTTCTTGTATTTACTTTTCTAATTTAGTTTTAATTAATTACATTTTTAGGATTATTGTCAAGTAAACATCGAACATTATTTTGTAATAAAATAATTTACACTAGTTTAATATTGAAAATGATCAACACGAAGAAGAATATATCTATTCTATTGAAAATATTTTGTGAAAATGTCAAAATTATATGATTATCTACGTATTGTATTTTATTTTTCTATTCTAAAACTACTTATCATTAACTTTTATTTCGTAAGTAATTTCAAATTATATTTAAACAATTAAATATTTTTTCTTTTTGTTATCAATTTTTGATTATTAAAAACTGGTATCAGAGAATATCTATAATTAAACTACACTTTTAAAATATTAAGTCAAATATATAACATTGAAAAATACTGTATGTTTAAATTTAGTACATAAATTTAAAATTGTATATTATTACCCTGAACCGAATAATATGATGTATTTTATTTAAAAAATAGATAGTTAGATAGTCGGTACTTAATATATTTTATCAAATAATGTAATCAGTTAAATGTATGAAAAACCTTATTGACACATTCTTAATTAATATTGTATAAAGTTTAATAATATTGCCATACAATAGTTTTAATTGTTCTTATATAACATAATATTCAATCATAGAATATAATTTATTTAGGTATTGTATGTACACATCGAGTGTGTATAATATTTATCTTAATTTAATTTCCCATAGGGATGTGTGTATTGTTACAATTGTTAATTAGGTAAGTATATTATATAATATTATATATGTATGCTTGTGTGTATTTAAGTATTTGTCTTTAAAAATATATTTTTTGATTATAGTTTGTTTTTCAGGTACCTATTTATATAGTATAAACGTATATTTTAGCTAAATTTCTAACTTAATATTTAATTTGAAATTTAAGTATGAAATATTCATTACTAACTGAAAACAGTACTAATTTTATAATAATTGGAATAACCGTATTTGTAAATACTAAATATGTATAATACCTATGATAATTCGATTTGTACATGAATAGACAATATTATATAAGTATCATCTATTAATTTATTATTATAAGTTGGATATAAGTTTGTAATGATGCTAAAAATTTATTTATTACATACTATACTTAGGTTAGGTTAACCAGTATTAATCAATACTAGTTAATAAACTTTTTAAAATTTTTCTTTTAAGCTTTAGATATTTAAATAGATAAGGTTTACAGTCAAGAGTTGTTAAAAACCAACACAATATTCAAATATCAATTATTGAAGACTCATATCGATTTGCTTAATTCGGTGCCAAAAAGTTGTACCGATTTCTAATTAAAATAATTTGTAAAAACCAGAAACAGCAATTGAAGATAATTAAATCAAAATTTAACCTAACATTTGAATATACTTAGGTCTAACTAAAGAAATAAAAACTGAAAATTGTTTAAAATAAAAAACAAAATTAACCTCTAATTAACTTTTTTATGTAAGAGAAAAAATTATGAAACGTTCTTAACTATAATATTATTTACTTGTAGCTATTTAGGTATAAAACATTCAACTTTGTAGAACTAATTTTATCAGAAAGAAGTTGTAGGTATAAATAATATAAAACGTGGTATTGGAAAATTTTTTACCTACAAATAATGGCTCCGTGTTAGGACGACTCGATAAAGTTTTGATCTCGACGTTAATCGTGGCGTATTACAACCGGTAGTAGTGCAGGATATGGTTTTAAATAAGCGAATAGGTGAGGTTAGTATTAAAAACAATTTTTTTTACAATATTTTAATATATTTAACTACGTTTTAAATTTCAATACATAATACAACTATTGTTGTATGCTATACGCGCGGAGTGGATAAAATGATGAAAACGCAATAACATTTCGATATTATATAATTATTATATTTTGTTTTATAATATAAGATAAATATATTATGCAGAAATAGTATATTATTGTGGTATAAATATGCTCGGCAACGACGGAGGTGGATCACGCGTTTGTGACGAACGAAATTATATCCTATTTGCAGTGCACGCGACACGACACTGAATTCACCAATGTGTGCCTGCGGCGGTGGCGACGGCGATGACGACGACTACTCCGACCCTGCCGCGACGGGGTTGACTTGAACGAGCGGGCGTGTGTGTGTGTGTGTGTGTGTGTGTGGCGCTGCTTTTCGGCGGACGTTTGCGCGATGATATCGCGTAAACTAGAAAACGATCGCAGCGATTCTAGCGAACCGTAAAACTTTACAGATTTCCGGCGGTATCGGCAGTGGATGCGGATGCAAGGGAACCGATGTATACAGCGGCGAGTGAGAAAAAGTATGAGAGAAAAAATACTGGTAATACAAGCATTTATTTCTCGTGCCCCCTTCACCAATCACTGCATACCGTTCGATTGCTTCTACAAACTGAAATGCGATTGTATATGTATAAACTATGTAAGAAATACCTATATATATATATATATATATATATATATACAGGACGGTTATCTCAACAACGCGCAACTGTCATACATTTTATCGTCGATCGGATTTCTGTTTGAAATGCTATACTTATCCTATATATTATTAAATAATAATATTTTTATTTCAGTAATATTTCATTTATATTATTCTAAATGGAAATCACCACGTTTCGAACTTTTCGTATTTTAATTCTACAGAATGTCAGTTTATTTATATATATATATATAATAATTTGATGCAGTGAGTTCATTCATAATGAATGATTAAAATCTAATTTTTATTTACCTATCTATATAATAAGGTCTGAAATCAGTCACTTCATAATTATAAATCAACGCCCATAAAATGAGTTAAAATATTTTAACACTCTATTTTTCTATGAAACAATTTATCATATTTAATAACCAATGTGTATTATTTAATCATCAATAATAGATGCAAATAATAACTAACGCGCTATTTATCTTGAGAAATAATTTCGATGTCTACATAAGTATGATAAAATTATTAATTTTTCTCAATAATAAATTGTAATTACTCAATTGATAATTGAAAAATTTTGATTTTTTTTTTCAAATACTTAAGCCTTGTGTATTTAGAATTTTAATTTACTCGATAGACTTATCATCTCAAAATATGTAACAGCATAATTTTTCACAAAAAAATGACCGTTTAATAGAGCGTTAAAATAGTCACTCTGTATATAATATACGAGTAATATGTTAGTATATGTACACGCGTAATACTGCAAACATAAATTTATCATAATGTTCCGGAATACGCACGTACTTATACTACCCGCACCCTTTGAAATAATCTCAAAAGGATTATAATTTCTGGATTACTACATGCCTACGGTGTGGCGAATCAGTATATGGTTAAGGGGTGAGTATGAAATGGGTTGGACTTGCGATATTACGATCGGTTCTAAACTTTACCAATATATATATGTATTAAATACAATCTATAATATCTGAAGACCATACTTATTCGTGGAGCCAGAGGATTTGCCATGTGATAAATAATCGACGGTGACCATTATACGACGCACCACATAATCAACACAACGGTAAATCTATTTCAAACTAGCTAAAATCTAATATTATTTTTATAATACAGTATTATTTTAGATAAGCATGAGAGGAGCAATGAATATATTGATTTTACTTTTTTTTTTTTTTTTTCATGTAAATCATCACTTTTTTGGACCTTTAAAGTGCTTTGATTTTGAAATCTTTATATGATATTATATTCACAATTTTAAGTCTTGATAAAGTATTTGTATTATTATTTTGTATAAAATATATCAAACTACTGCGACTATTTTTAAGTTATTTATAGATATTTAAAATTTTATTTTTTAGCTTTATTTCTATAAATATTAATAAAAAAAATTTATTTGTCAAAACTAATGAAAATTTAATACAAGACCCCACATAAGTTATTCTTATAGAAAAAATTTAAACTACATTAAATTAAATGGATATAGAATTTATTCTTATAAGTATTTTCATTTCACTATATTTTTATAATTAAAAATCATTTTTTGAGAACACTTAAAACTTTTACAGATATTATAAATTTTACTTTACATAATAGCATTTTCAAAATATTTAGATTAATTTTACGATATTACCTATTTATACCATAAAATTATTAATGCTGTTTTACATTATTAACATAAAAGTTAATACTAAAAATGTAATAGTAGCTTGGTGTGGCGCGTTGGCTGCTGCCAGTCGCGGAATATGACTGGGAATAAGTAACGGCCGCATCTTCTAGTTCCTGGATGGGTGACCACCCGGGCTCGTAGTGGTTAAAAACCTTGCCACACATACACGTGTTTGCTATCAACCGTAACAACCATAACAATTGTAAATAACAATCTACCTGTACCAACCTTACTTCTACCCACAGTTTATAACCCCTACAACAGCTAATGGCCCTAGTCGCCGTTGTGCTTAAGTTCAATATATACAAAAAAAAAAAAAAAATGTTATAAAAAATAAATTTAATATAATATAATATAATATAATATAATGATAAATACAATATTTACATTTACATTTTTTTTTCAATTTATTTAAGCAGACAGGTTACGATACCACTGTCTATTTAGTTCCTTTTGTGTTTTCTGGACAAGAGCTGGGTAATATGACAGATGGGATGGTGAATTAGACGGCTATTAAAGTGTTTATAATATAGTTTGATGAATTCTGTAACAATTGATATTTTTAAATCAGAGTTGATGGATTTATGGGAGATATAGAATGGAGCTTTAAAAATGGTAATAACTTTTTTTTAAATGCGTGGTAACTTAATAAATCGATGGTCAATGTGAATGCCAAGATATCGTAAAAATTGGGCAGAAGGGATAGACTAGCTATTGAAATAGAGTTTAGGATATAGTCTGTAGCGAAGGATCGTAATACTGATAATAAAATAAATTACTTAAATAGTTTTATCAAAAAATATATTTATTATGACTAAATACATTTAGTGACATAGGATAACATATCGTTTTCACTCAAAATCATTTTGTTTACAATTATATATAATTTAATGACTATACTATTAAAATCTGTTAAAGTATTTTGTTAGTGTTGTATTATTATATTATGTTATCACAGTCACCAATAAAGTTCAAAGTTAATATTAAAACTACTGATAGGTACTGAAATTGTGAGAGAAACCCTTCCCCCTACGTTACTTTGATATTATAATACTATAAAGACAACCTAGTTTAGCTACTTTGACCGGAACCTAATTCTCCCAAAAAAAAAAAAAAAAAAATCAGTAAAATATGCTTTGACGTATATTAATTGTTACTGAAAAATTCTAAAAAATAATTATTTAATAAACATCGGTAATAAATCTAGGCGGGTATTGAAAAGTGATATTTCTTGAGATTATTTACTAAATTCACTTAATCTGAATTTAAATTATATAATTTTTTGCTATGTCATGATATTAATATAAAAATAAATGTAATTATTATTTTAGATTTTTAACGGAATAATGGAACAATAAATGTATTGATTTTACTATGATGTGTATTTTTTTTCTATCTGTCATCACCTTTTGAAACAGTAAAAGTGCTTAGATTTTAAAAATTTCGGGATAGTTTTTAGTAGAAAATTAGATATAATTTCAAAATAACTAGGGACAAACGACAAACGTATATTTTACATATGTATCAATTATTATGTAATTAAATCCAGGATACATACTGAAAGTAGATTTTTTTCAAATAAAAATAACAAGATTTATAATTTGATAAAATGCCCATTTTTTTTTTTTTTTTTTGAAATATTTAATATTGGTAAGCATTAAAAGCATGTAATGGTTAATTAATATATATAAACATAAATGATTTTTGTAAAATAATGTATGAGTATAGTATAGGTAAGGCCGTATGGATAGGTTAGTTGTAATTAATTAATTAACAAAATCTTACATCTATTGCCTGCTATAATTTCTAGAAAATATTTAAAAAAATAATAACTTAAAATACCTTGTGTCATAGTCATATGGTTTTTCCAACATTAATATACTCGTATTTTGTGTTTTTAATAGGTTGTTAAATTTAAATTTGCATATATGTTTTTTATTGTGTCTGTGTATGTGATAAGTAGTTAATAAAATGCTTTGATCTTCAACTTTGATGGTTCTTTCTGATAAAAATTGAATCTAATTTATACTAAATAAAATTTAAAATTTAAAATTAATGGTATTTTTTAAATAATCAGGAAAAACAAATAAAAAATAAGGTAAAATGTAAATTTTTAAGCAAAACCAGTAATCGACAAAATCTATTTTGCTTTTATTGTAATCCATAATATTCAATTACCAATTAAAAAAATCGAAAATTTATAATGACAATTTTTTTTACAAGTATTTTAAATTAAAATCTCAACAAATCAAATCAAATTACCGTAATACTAAAAGAAAAATTAATTACTTTAATATAAATACTAGAAAATATATCATGAAATGTACTCAGTGATACAGATTAACAGATCTTTTCTACTCATTATCATTTTTTGTATTTATTCAATGAATTTAAATTTAACTTATTCATTATAGTGACCTACTCAATACCTATTGTACAGCAAATTGGTATCTACTTGACGACTTTTTTTTTATATATTCTGTATTTAAAAGACCAACAAAATATGTCATATAATGCATTGAAAATAATTTATTTAAACCGATATTTTAACAATAATTTGGGTGTATTTTTAAGCAATTTATACGATTATTTTTATATAGGATTGTACTAAAATTATAATAAAACCATACATTAAATACAACCTAAATCATTATGACGAAATGTTTTATGAGTCACAAGAAAATTTCATTGGAAGACGTCGTGTGATAAATTTTAGTGCCAATAGAGCAACTGCATTCAGTGTGTTACATCGCTACCGATAATTATACAAATCATTATAAAACCAATTGTTAGTTTTTTAACGATAACTTATGTTAGTATATTAATATAAACGTATATTAATTATTCTTAAAATAAAATGGCAAGTTTTTATTACATTATTTCTATTTATAGTGTAATTTACAATATTTATATTATCTATGTATGTATTAATATTAATATAATATTTTTTTTATTAGAATAATGCAATGGATGACTATAAATTTACAACCCATATTTTAAATTATCATTGGCATAAGCCGAAATTCATGAACGAATTTGAATGTATGAATCATAATCGTGAGGTATTTATTAACATTATTTATTTAAACTACATTTCTAAGAATAATCAATAATCATAATTTTTGTTTTCCACTGGTATATTTAAAATCGTTCCTAAAATTTTTTTAAATAAAAAGTAGTAGACACGTACATATGATTAGGTACATAATATGTTTTTTTTAATTTTTATATATTTCCGTTCATAATTTTTATGTATTTTGTTTTCGGAATACTCCACAAATATTCCATGATGTTAATTATTGAGTAGCTTTTTTATTTTAAATTAGAAGTTACACTATTCAAAAAAATACTAATTATATTAACCATAAGCTAGCAAATATAATAGCTGTACTTAAAGTAAATTTATTTAAATTGTTCCCAAAATGTTCGGTCTTATCGAGTTTTAATGACACCAAATGCCAAATAGTATTTAAAAAAAAACCCATTATATATTTATGCACTATTTTTTTTTTGCCAACTGGATGAATGCCCGACTGGGGTAAAGGTCGACATTTGGCATTGTTGTGAAACTTTTAATTTGTTTTATTACGACATACTTAATCCCTCTAAACAAGGTAATACGTACATAATATTTTAATATTTTATTTAGCTGACATATAAAATTACATTATTGGTTTTTTTTATTTATTTATTATGTACAGTTAATTATAGTCATCAGATGAGAAACTAATTTATTAAGCTGTTAGAGTGTTTTCATAATTAAAAAAAAATTAAAATTAGTATTTTAAGCACAATAAAATAAATTTGTTAGGAACACAAAGTGAAAAATAAATAATATAAAAAAAATATATGGCTTTAAACAAATACCTTTACTACTTTTTAGGCTTTGAGCAGAGTAATGAATATATTGATTTTACAATAATGTATTTTTAATTTTTTTGTGGATAATATACATAATAACTTGTCAATAAAATGTTTTGATTTTCGAAAATAAGAGTGGTTTGGGTATAAAATTGATATTGTATTTTCAAGAGGTTAATTTTTATAATCGAAAAAAAAAACAAATAAAAAATTAAGGAATACTGAGAATTTTTACGCAAATCTAATTTTTTACAACATTGGCTTTGTTTTTTTTTTTTATGTAACTTAAAAATGAGTAACCGTAGATACTTAAAATCTTCAACTTATATAACTTCTTATATTTTGACTATTTTTGTGCTATTTATAGATATAAGAAATATTTTTTGTAAATATTGATTAAAAATTATTCACCGGGTAGAAATACTTGAAAATTTAATACAAATCTCTTCATAAGTTATTAATTTTTAAATTAAAAAACATTGAAAATTTATAGCCAGAATTTTTTTTTTTAAAGTATTTAAAAATAACTTTTTTACAAGATTTATAAAAATTGCGAAAATTAGTAAATCGTTTTGTAGTTTGAAATTCATAAAATATTTTGTTTCTAATATTTAATGCAAGTTTCTTTATTAATTATTCAACTTAGATAAATATAAAAAAAATTCTATCAGAAAGCCAAACTTATTTTTTATAAGCATTTCCAGTTCAAATGTTTACGGCATTCAATGTTCACCTGTAAAATAATAATTTCTTTTCGAACAATTTTTAATTTTTATTGTGTTGCAAAATAAAAAAATAACATTGAATACTTGAAATTTTTACCAAATTTTTATGTTATCATTTTGATTATACGAAAATATTTTCAACATTTTTAAACTTTTTTTTGAGTTATCTAAGGATATATACGTTTATTCTAAAAATATCAATTAAAATCTATTTATTGGGTCAAAATTTTTGAAAATTTAGTTTAATATCCCACAATAATTATTTCTGTAAAAAAATATTAAGAAATATAGCTATATTTTTTTATATGTATTTTAAGTTTAAATTATGACGAACTTTGTTAAATTTCTAAAAATTTAAAGCTATTTTTCAGTTAAAATTTATAAATACTTTTCATTGTGTATCTAAATTTTGCAAATTTAATCCAAGATTCTTCATAAGTAATTCATATTAAAACCATACAATTATTAAAGCAATATTTTTTAAAGATATTTAATGTTCCAATTTGGACGAAATTACTTATTTAAACGATAAATATGATTTGTTAATTATTTTATTATAAATTATAATTTTATCATAATTAATATACATCACATGGTAATATATTTTATTCGTTTTTCGTACACAATAATAAATCATTGAATTCAAATTTATCACACCTATAATAATGATCCATTCGACACTTAATGTACAACAGAGCGGTGCTCATTTAACTACTTTTTTAAAAATTGTTATTCGTATTTTAATTAATTTATCGTATTATTTTTTTTTATTTTATTATTATTTGTGCAGGGATCTAGTCTGTCAACAACTAGTAATAATTTAGCTGCAGTGAACTTGAAACCTAGATCTCACTCAATAAATTATGTATCATCGGATTATGAAGTGAGATTTTAACTATTGCATATAATTAATGTATAGTGGTAGTTTTTATTACTTAAATCTAATTTTAATAAAATAATAAATTATTATATTTTTAGAGTTTGGATTATGATCACTATGAAAGTGAACTTACTGTTAGAGAAGAAAAGTTAAACGGCTATAAAACTGTAGTAGTGACTAATGTGGTTAGATGGCTTATTTATTTTTCGATTGCTATATGCACTGCAGCTGTTGGAATTTGTATTGATACAATAATTGAATATTTGTATAATTGGAAGTTTCAATCGATTCGAAACTGTATTGATATTAAACACTCGACAGTAGAGTGTCTGATTATTTGGATATTTTTCACCGTCATCCCTACGATTATTGGATGTTGTGTAGTTCTATTTATGGAGGTTAATTATAAAGTTATGTTTGTGTGTAATAGTTTGTATAATATAATGACGTCTTAAGTGGTAGCTAATACTAATAATCAAAAATAAGTATTAAAGTAATTTCAACTATATCAACATTGGTAAAATACTATAATGCCCATTAAATAGTTATTTAACATTGTGTAGAAACTATGTTTCAAACTATTCTACTTTGAAACAAATTTATATTGTTAACTATTAATAAAAAATGTTTCGAATTTTTAAGCATTGTAGGTTTTATAAATTCAGTAAATTCATGTAAATTCACATAAATTATTTTTTTAACTAATACAAAAATAAAAAAACAAATAAATTATAATTATTATAGTAAGTGATCATCTACAATTGTATATTATCTATATTTTATAAAAAATTTACATAATTAAATTATTTTTCGTGCTTCTCTACAAAAATAGATATGTATATATTTTGAATACTGCAAAATTGTTCAAAATAAGATTCTTTATATTTTTATTTTACTATAATAATACAAATTCCTTTTAAAATAACAATGTTCTTTAATCTACTGAACTAATATAAAAAGTATATTTATAAGAATTATATTTTCCTTTACTATTAATACTTTTAATTTTATTCCATATAATAGTTAATATTTCAATAATATATATTTAGCCCTCAGCTGCTGGAAGTGGTGTTCCATTTGTAATATCTTATTTAAACGGAGTTCGTATACCAAGAATGACGGCCGTCCGATGCTTATTGGTAAAAGTGATAAGCGTGGTATGTGTTTGCGCAGCAGGTCTTGGTGGAGGAAAGGTATTTTTATTTTTATTTTTACATTTATAAAAATAATATAAAATTTCAACTTTTTTAACTCATAGTTTGTACTGGAGTAAAGAGTTACCTTTTAAATAATTTTGATTATGAACTATGGAAAAACAAAATATATAATAATGTATTATTATATATTTTATTATAATACTATCTCTAATAATGATAAACGGTGCCATATTGTTAATTTTGATTTATAATGAATAATAATTATATAGTTTTAAACTGAAGTAGAAAAATATTTCATAATTATTCTTACTCCATTTCACTTATTTATTCTTATGATATTAATCATCAAAATTTACAAACAAAATATTCTGTATCATATTATAATTTTATTTAAGAAACCATGATTACTATTGAAAAATCAAATTTGATTTAAGTTTTCAAAAACCTAATGCGATGATTAAAAAATAAACAATTAATGAATTTTAAATACGTATTCACAAACATTAAAAAAAAAAAAAAAAAACTTAAAATAAATTAAGCCAATAAAATATGTTTATACAATTTTTATACAGTTAAAATTAAATTTATATTTGTATATTGATACAATTATTGGACTCATTTATTAAATAATCATTATTGAAAATGTATCAATATTTCAGGAAGGACCATTAATTCATATTGGAGCAATGGTTGGTGGTTCAGTCGTAGAAGCTTGGTGGAAAGGTTTTAGAAATAGTCCTGGTCGGAAAATTATTGGACCCTTACAAAATGATCAGGAGAGGAGAGATATGATGGCAGCAGGTGCTGCTGCAGGATTATCGGCCGCTTTTGGATCACCTGTAGGTAAATAATATATCATTTTAGTTTTCAAAAAGTGTTAGCTTGTAATTGGAAATATATGTACTCAAGTATGTCTAATATAATTTTAATAGATTCCAGACAATATTGATAAGAGACTTATGATAAATAATGGAAACCTTTATAAATTATAATTAATTTATTGTGTTCAATAGTTTTATAATATATTATCATAACTTCCGTCATCAGATTCCATAATTAATTTATCGACTGAATGCCACGATTGCAGTTAAGCTTAAAATGTTTGGCTAAAGTCAATAATATACTTTTAAAGTTTAGTACAACGCGTATTCGAGGGTATTCTTAAAAACTCTTACGCCTTATCACTTGCTTAAACTCAAAAGATATATTAATAAGAATCTATATTTTGATTTCTAAGTAAGAAAAATTTGTCTTAAAATACGAAATTAAAAATATTTTCTATCATCAAAAATAGAAAAAAAATCACTATAATACAATATTTATACATATATACCTATTATTATTTTGTACTCAATTTTTAAATATATGGTTAAAATATATTATTAAGGATAACAAACTTTGCTTTTTCTATATAATGACTTAACATTTTTTAAACTCATCGAGCAGAGGGTTTTTAGGTGACAGGTAATGATGGTCAACTAGCTAGTTAGAATAACAAGAAAATTTATAAATGTAAATAATAATACTAATATTTAAACAGTCTTAAATATTTAAAATTATTTATTATTTACGTATGAATATTAATTATTACTTTACTTTATATTATTTACATTAGTTACATAATAAAAGTACTTCAAAATATAATATAAATCTATACATAAAATACATTTCAACAAAAAATATACTGAAAAATGGCTATGAAAAAAAAATATAAAATAAAAAATAAATAATGGTTAAAAGGAAAACTATAATATTCATGAAACTTCGTATAATATAGGTATCTAAATTATGTAAAATAAAACTTTTGTATTTATTTATTTATTAATTTTTTTATTTTTTTTTTTAGGAGGTACATTAATGAGTCTTGAAGAAGGAACAAGTTTTTGGAGCTCAAGTCTCATGTGGAAAGTGTTTTTTTTGTGCAGCAATAGCTTTTCCAACATATAATGCTGGTAAAAACGTACTATTTACTAATAATACAAGTGAGTTATTTTATTATACTGAATAAATGTACTTCATAATAAAAGATTTAATATGCTTATACTTTTCTATAGATCCATCAGAATCTGTTCACAGCAAAAGTATTTACTTTTTTGGGAAGTTTAATGAAAACACAATTTATTTTTCTTATTCAGAATTTCCCATTTTTATTATATTTGGGATATTTGGTGGTGTACTTGGAGCTTTATTTGTCAATATTAATTATCGGTTATCCATTTTCAGAATGAAGTTCGTTTTTATAAATTAAATTATACTTAATAATTTATTGTATGATGTGTTTTGATAAATGTTATGTTTAATTTGTATAGACACATTATATCAAATAGAAAAAAACTTCTGGAATCTGTATTTGTCGCAATATTTGTCGCGATAATAAATTTAACATCCATGGTTTTGTTAAACAACTGTCAAGAAAAACTAGAGATGATATCGTTTAATGTAGTACAAGTAAGAAGCACTTTAAAAATAATCCAATAGGATAATAAGTTTAACGTGTCTTTATCTTTTTAATTTATTTTTCCTTGCTGTCATACATTATTTTAATTTTTAGTTAATAATATAGTATTAAATAATAACTATTAATATTAACTATAATATTGTAGTATTAATTTTAAAAAAAAACTATACTCTTCTCAATGGCTATGAAATTAATTTTTATAGATGAAAACTTACATATACTAAACAATTTTATATTAAAAATAATTAAATATATAACTAAAAATTTAAAATTATAATCTTCACATTATTTTTACACACTATAGACTACAATATTTATATTTAATTTAAAATCTAAAAATGAATTATATTGTGTTAATAATTTGTATGTTTTATCAATTGTCTGTCATAATGTTTATTATAAAAACAACGTATACACACTATACACTATACATATAATACGTTTAAATAATGTACAATATAGTGATAATTATTTCAATTAAAACTTTTAAGTTTAAATATGAACACTAATATAGTTTTAAATTATAGTTATTATGAAAACGGCTTTTACCTTTATGATAGGTTTGTTGCAGATGTACTGTCCAGGAGGAAGTTATAATGAAATAAGTTCATTTTGGCTCCATACTCAAGAAGAAAATATTAGATCATTATTCCATTATCCAATTGGTAATTATGTATTTTTATATAATCGTGTAAAATACATTTTACATATATATATATATATATTTGAATTCTTTAAATAAAATGTTTGTGTATAATTTATAAAATTTAATAATATGAGCATTTTTTTTTTCAAGAAGAATATACTAAATTAAAATAAAATAAAATAATGCAGTTATTCATACTTAACTTTAGTATTGCATAAATATTAAATACTTTATATTTACTTTTAAGGTACTTAAAAATGTAAAATCGTGAAATGATTATACTATACAATGTATGTATTATATATACTTATTTTACTTCTGTAAAAAAAAATAATTTGAACTGAGAATAAAGTTCTTTAAAAACTATATATTAAATAGAATCTAAAATGAAAAAAAGATAGATTAATTATAATAATATATATATGAAGCAATGTAATTTAATATGCATAATATATTTTACATTATTACAAGCTACAAACTAAATTTATTAATAATATATTAAATGTATACATAATGATAATATATTAAAATAAATAATATAATATAATGTTATTCAATTAATAAACAGCAATAACATCAAAAACTACTGTTTATATCATTTCAATTTTTTTTTTTTTTAATTTTCTAAATTTAATTTAATTCATATTATTGTTATAATTTGTTTATTTTTCAGTATCTAAACAAAAAAAAAGCTATGTGTAGTGTGTGTAAGCGATACTCAGCTAAGTCTATACAACTTAGATGATTTTAAAATTTGGTATATAGATAATTTTATACTTGAAAATGTTCATATTGAAACCATTTTTTTTTTTAAATTTTACATTTTGAAAAGGGGCTCATTTAGGGATTAACTGCCAAAAACCTTATGAAAAAAAATATATTCTTTTATCGGTATAAGGTGGCTATTGGTTATATAAATTAAAATAGTACTTTTAATCGTATATAATTGTATATCGGTATTTAATACTTGGCCAAAACCACCAAAATGTTTGTATCAAAAAATATATTTAATTTACATTTAACGGAGTTTAAGATAAAATAAATCCACTGGTATTTTATTTAATTTGTCATGGGCAACGACATAAAAAATCTACTCGATGGCTTAATTCATTACTGCGACAATTTTAAAAACTATTATTCAAGAACCTAATGATTTAAAAAATCTAAATATTTTATACTTTTTATAATTTTTTTTTTTTTTTTAAATAAAAATCTTAAATTAAGAGTGCTCTTGTAACTATCACATACAATTTAACCATAATATCTCTAAGTAAAATTAACAAATAATATCGCATAGATAACTTATTTATGATTTTTTTTTTTAGTTTTTATAATTTTGAACTAAAGCTTCAAGATAACCTGTATAATAATAAAATAAAAATACTTATACTCTAGTCATTAGTTAATAATAAAAACCTTGATTCTACGCATCTGCACTCGACACCCTGCTGTAATGAAACCTGCCTCGATGGCAGGGTGTCAAGTAAATTACGTGATAGAACTGATTTTTGTCAGGCATCTGAGTGTTTTATCACTGAACAGACTAATTAATATTATTTTTTTATTTTTTTATACTGCTTTAGTCATTTATTTATTTATTTTTAATTGTTTACAGAAGCATATTCAATAATCTCACTATTAGTTTATTGTGTAACTTATTTCATATTAACTGAGTTAACTGTTGGTCTTAATATGTCAGCTGGATTGTTTTTACCTTCATTATTGATTGGAGCAGCTTGGGGACGTGTTGCAAGCAAAGTTATTCATTATTATTCTTCTGGTATTGTAAGTGGTTGTAGAATAAAATAATAAAATAAATTAATCAAATGAAAAATGCTTAAGCTAAATTTTTAGATTTTTCCAGCATAGTAAAAATAAACTATTGTTACATAAGAATATAAAAATTATAAAACTAAATATGAAATAATTAATTATAAACTCATGTAAAATACAATAGTTTTTAATATTTTAATAACTTTTAAGAAAAGACATTCTAAAATAATAATTAAGTAATTATATTATTGTTGCATCTTTTTTATAAAAAAAAAAAAATGTATTTACGATCAAAAGCTCCAAAAATATGGTGCATACCACTTTTTTGGATTCTGAACGGGGTAAAAAATTAATTTATTAGACAATTTTTTTTATGTGTGGTGTGTTAATGTGTGTGTATACGCAATAGGTAGTTTTACGACAAAAATTTATTCAATACGTCTTTTGTAATACTAGTAGTAAAATAAATTACTTTAATAGCAGTATAAATATATTATGAAACATACAATATAATAGTTATAATAATAATTGGATTTACCGTCTTCTCCCAAAATCAATTTTAATTCTTAAGAGTATTTTTGGAATTATTTTTTTTAACTGGATAACATTTGATGAAAATGTATCATAAACTATCTCACTAAAAAAAAAATAGACATTAAATAATTTTATTAAGTTATTTTTTCCTTATTAAATGTTTTTTATAAAAATCACGGAAATGAAAATATGTAACAAATTTTTTTTTGTTTATTTAAAAGTCATAAATTAAATAACTTATAATAATTAATTATTTAAATACTTAATAAAAATGTTCACTTTAATATGCAATACATTTCGAATTTTGTAAAAATATGCAATAACTATTAAATATACTGAAATATACTAGAATAATTTCACTACTAAATTCCAATTACATATTATGGTTCTTGAAGATAACCGAGAAAAATTCAAAAAAGTAAAAAATAAAAATAAATGTGATTGCATAAAAATCCACACTCTATTTATATCTTATCTGTGTACTTAGCAAAGGCTTCTGTAGCTACACAATAATTTTTCAAACAAAATTTTCGTCATTTGCAAGCAAATATATACAAGTAAATATAGATAAGTCTTTTAATTTACGACTAAAATTTAAATTATACAAAGTTTTTGTTTAAAATCAATTTTTAAAAACAGTTTTTTTTATTATTTATATTTTATAACTAATGCCAGTTGGTTTTACAAATAAAGCTAACAAAATAGTTATAAGATAAGTATTAAAGTAAACATATACGTAAGAACGATATGATGGTGTAATCTATGAGATATTAAACATAGGTATTAATTTGTCATGAAGTATACGAATCGTACACGCGCATCATTCTAAATACATTAACTGCAATGTTAGATGGAATTATCCATATGAAAAAGTACCCTAAAATCTAGTGTTAATGCAGGAAATCATATTTTTTTAAAGCAGACATGTAAATTCGTGCCCTAGTTAAAACTAATATAAATTAAATTTTGAACATAAAGTCATTGGTACTTATCTTACATTCTTACCTACTCGCAATAGGTATTGGTTTTAAGTTTAATTTTTACAAATATTTGTTGTTGCATTCAAAACGCATGTTGTTAAAAATTGGATATTTACTTTTATTTTAATATGTCAGAAAGTGATTTAGAATAATAGAAGTTTTGTTCAACCAAAAACAAATTGAAATTTTAATTAAGGGATCACTACAAACGTGTTAAACAAAGTTGACTGTAATATACAACTTGATGTCAGTATAACATGTTGCATAACGATAACATTCTGTTACCAACAAAGTGTATCGTATATATAATAAGTGATAACTAATAAGTAATAACTAATAACTATAGTCTATAAGCAATCCAACTCAGTATAGTAAATTTTGAACCTATCTTACATCGGGGAGTTGAGAGCTATTTCCAGAAAATAATAATTTTTGGATGTGTACAATGCAAGTAATGCAATTTTCGTGAAGATGCACAAATTTATATTATTAACACAGAATATCTCGAAAGTGTTTCTTTAATTGATATTATATATAATATCTAACAATCATTATTATCCAAATTATTCTTAAAAATAATTTGTTATTTTAGATAAAAACACTACATTTTAATTTTGATTTCTTAAAGTGTATATATATATAATATATTTTGATTTTAGATTGGAAACGACCCAGGAAAATACGCATTACTAGGTGCTGCAGCACAATTAGGCGGAATCGTCAGAGCTACTATAAGTCTAACTGTCGTTTTTATTGAGGCTACAGGAAATGTTCAATTCTTATTGCCATTGATGATTACTTTATTCACAGCTAAATGGACTGGTGATTTTTTTACAGATGTAAGTTGCATAAACTGTGACATTATTGTATTATATTTTTTAGATGTAATTTAAATTTTTATCTATTAAGTTATTACAAATATTATTTGGTGAAGAAAAAAAATTTTAACTAACTTATTTTCTAATAAACAACAGCTTCAACTCTATTAGTTATTCGAAACACTAAATTTAAAAAACTAATTAATATAGGCATTTATTACATTCAATAAAAATCTTATTTTTTGATTCTAAGCAGACCAATGTATAAGATTCTTAGTGGATCGATGAATGTATTTTAATTATTAGTCCTATAATGGTTTTTGTTTTTTGTGGGTCTTTGGTTGAATCTTCACATCGTGGGAGGACGGTTTTTGGAAGAAAATTTTATCTAGTTGATACTTTAGTTAATTAATTTTTTAGTTATTTTCTAAATAGACGAGAAATGCATTTAGGATCTTTTTGAATTCAATTTATTTACTACTTTCAACAGTCAGCTAAGTACAGTAATATATATATATTTTTTTTTTTATAATAATCTCTGAATTTTTTACTAAATACAATAGACGCCGCTTATAAGACTCACTTTGAGACCAGCACAAAGTGAGTCTTATAACCGAATGAATCTTATAGGCGAAGTGGAAAAAAAAAGATTAATTACGTATTTATAAATTTTATTTTACTACATATTTTGCTTTGATTTTAATACATTAACACATATTACATATTACATACTTTATTATTGAATAAATTTAATAATCCCGATAAAAAAAAAAACTAAAATTATAATCGTTATAATAATTATCATTGCGATAAATGTGAACTTTTATCTGGATAAAAATTATTATACGTTATAAGGTACCAACAGAAACTAGAAATAATCAACACGAATATTATTTCATTTTTCAAAACCAATTTATTTCTAAATTATTACCAAAAAAGTTTATTTTCTACTATTGATTTACGAAATTTGAGTCTTATAACCGAAGTGTTGAGTCTTAAAACCGATTTTTTTTTAATGTATTTGGATACATCCGGACCGTTCCAGACGATTTTGAGTCTAATAAGCGACTGAACCTTATATCCGTGAGTCTTATAAGCGGCGTCTACTGTATATTAAATTGATGTATGAACACATTATTAACTTTTGTTCTACGCAATTGCTTTTTCGGTTTTAGAATATTATAATAATATAATACTATAATATTTACTTATTTTAGACTGAAAAATTTTAAGTTAATATAGTAAATTATTGTTTTTAGAATAAACTATTTAGATTTTTGTTAGCTATTTTCAAATATAAATTGAAAATTGTTTTTATAACCTAACCACGATCATTTGTTAGATTTAGATATTATTGTAATTTCAAGTATTATTATTTTATATTTACTTGAAAGTATATTTTAGAATATGAACACTTTGATGAATATGTTGATTTTCTATAATAGATATTTATTCTGTCTATCATTGCCTTCAGAACAGAAAAAACTGTATCGATTTTAAACTTTGTAGGCGATTTCTGATAAAAAGTTGTTTCTAGTTGATACTTTAGAGGGTCAACAGTAAAAAAACGTTCAGTATTTTCCTTAATATCAAAAAAAAATAAATTCAATTAAAATGGAATAATAATGTTATAGAAACTACATAACTTTTAATTTCAAATGATTTATGTAAATGGAATGAAATAAACAAAAGTGATTATAAATGTGACAAATTTTGGTTTATCTGTTAAAGGGTATTTATGAAATGCAGATTAAGTTATCTGATGTTCCTATATTAATAAGTGAACCCCCACCTTTAACTAGTGATATCACAACAGAAGACTTTATGAGTGATACAGTCTGTGCAATACCTCATATACTAATGGTCGGAAAATTAGTGGATATATTGAACACAACTAAACACAACGGGTTTCCCGTGGTAGCATCAAAAGTTTGCTACTGCCGAGTAAATGTATGAATAAGAGCTTTACCGAGTTCCACAGCTTGTTAATAATGTCTTAATATTTTCTAAAACACTGTTCACAGACAACTATAGAACATAAATGTTATGGCTTACTTAAAGGATTTATTCTTCGGTCTCAGTTAAATGTTATCCTTGAACACAATTTATACCTTACTCCTTTGCATGATGAAAATTATTACACAAAACTGGAGCTTATTAGAAAATCAACGTTTATTTGTGACGATACTCTACTTTTCCAGGTTGGTTTATGAAAATCTTGGTTAAGCTTTTAAGCATGGATGTTAAAAATCTTATAAATAGTTTTTACACCGTAGTTCATATTATCTATATGACTAGGTGTACCTAATTAATTTGACGAATTAAATGGGAAATATAGTTAAAAACTCAGGTATACTCGTCTATATAATATGGTGTGTATTTCTAAGTCCTTCTCGGTTAGTTTTAATACTGATCATGTTAAATCAAATATATTTATATATATATTTCAGAAAATAAGAGTTGAAGAAGATAAAAGATGTATTATTATTGATCTGCGACCATACATGAATTCAGCGCCATATATTGTGAGATTAGTGAGTACTAGTTTTTACAATATTTACTGAAATAAAAATAAAATATATTGATTAAGATAGATAGGTTAAGTAATTTTATATTAATATAATACGTTAAAAAACTTGATTAATAATATAAGTAGATTATGACTTTAAGATTGTTTAAATTATAAATCTGATATAGGTTATTAAGAATTATAGATAAATGCAGTATTGATTCATCGATTCATGAAATGTTAATCCGTTACCTTGTATTCAACAAAAGTATTCCACTATTTATAAGCCTGCTATTTTTAATTTTTCATTAATTGTTGAGTACTATGTTATGTTATGAAATGATAATACAAATAAACTTCTCCCTATATGATATTATATATTAGTGCGCTGTATTGATATAAGTGGTTTTTATCATGACTATTACAAGTTGAGAAAATTGTTCATATTTTTCATATTTATAAATAGGTATATCATAAAATAAGTATATTTTAATTATTTGAAAAAATGTTGGGATGTAATCAAGTTCACTTTTAATTACATTAAGTCCGAACCCCGGAAACGTTTGAAATTGACTTGAGTGTCTATAATACCTATTACAAGTATTTATGACTCCGTTATCTATCCAACGAAACCACTATTAAGGCGTTAATCACGGATGTTGCAAGTTTTGACAAAGAATCTATCAGTCGTTTAAATTTTATTTTTTTGTTGAAAACCCCGCATAATATTATACTATTTTTTGTGGATATAGTTTTTGGGTGACTCGGGAATTGTGGACCTATTATAGTTTTTTTTTTTAACGCCAACTAAAAATATATTTGGTACTAAACATTACTTGGATACAAATGTGCTAAACTAATGTAAACGGTTGCACGTATGATCCTATCATATATTTCTCTTTTTTCAAAAAAGCTCTAATATTATTCGTAATGAAAATATAGATTATTACAAGGCTGTAGCCAAGGGGGTTTAGGATCAGATCTCCTCTTGAAATGTTTTCTTTAAATAAGATTGAATAGGTTTAAATGCCTATTATATTTAAAACTCATATATTGTTTTATACTCTAACCCCCCCCCCCCCCCCCAAAAAAATAAATAAATATTTTTCTGGTTATGGACTTGAATTATTGTATATTATACCTATAATCTGCATCAGAGATCACAAATTAATATAACTTAGATAACATCAAAAAAATAGGTATACAATAATATCTTATTTTTTATTTATTTCATATGTAAACGTGATTTTAGTTTTAAGTTAAAATTACCTCAAAAAATAATAATATTACGATTAAAATAGTATTTATTTTTAAACAAAAAAATGTGATTATATGCTAATACAACACAAACTTTCAATTTAAATTTATATTTTGCAAAGTTATTAAATATTTTCAATTCAATAGACAGTAATTGATTCTATTGATAATTTTTAATCAAATGATACAATGTGTGTCTATTGTAATTTTGAATATTATGTGTGAGCTTATAAAAATTCTTTTATATTATTATGACATTATATCAATGTGTAGTAATAGTTTTATAGGTGAAAGAATACTCAAAAAATTTATTATATTTGATAGTATTATGATTTTTTTCTAAAACTATTTATACTTTTTAAATGCCAAAGTTAAAACCAATTCCTTCCTGAGGTTAAGTCAATACTATATTATCTTTTAATTTTTTGGTGATTAAAATCATATCTTAACCCATATTATGTAAGAAAAGAAATAAATAATTTAACACTCAATTGTTTAATATAGATGAAAATATTATAATATATTATCGTTTATTTGATTTTGCATTATATACGATACATAAATGAATATGAAAAAAAGTAATAGCTTTTTAATATTATTAAAATCTAATAATTAGAATGAAATTGTGTTAAACTTAATGATATCCTTTGTGTCCATGTCCGTGTCCGTGTCCATGATTTCCACCACCTCCGTGGTGGTAATTTTGACCACCTCCGTGGTGGTAATTTCCACCTCCGTGGTGGTGGTTTCCACCGCCTCCGTGGTGGTAATTTCCACCTCCGTGGTGGTGGTTTCCACCGCCTCCGTGGTGGTAGTCACTACCTCCGTGGTGGTAGTTTCCACCGCCTCCGTGGTGGTAGTCACCGCCACCATTTTTGTGTGGTTCGGGAGCCGGCTCAGAAGTAGCTTGTTGAGTCATTACGAGAATGACAAAGCACAAAGCTAATAACTAAAGAACATTAAAAATTCAGTCATTATAAAGTTGATATTTTAGTGATCCCTTTATTGTGAAATGAAAAAATTTTAAAAAGTATTGATATTTTTAATTTTTTCATTTATCTATCAAATTAATATAATAATTGTAAGACAAATATTTAAACAGTTTTTTTGTATTAATTTAAGTTTTATAATAAAATTAGTTTCAACAATAGCATATTAGAAAAAATATAAAGGAAACAATATTAAATAGAAGTTATTTACAAAAATAAAGAGGAGAATAATTACTAACTAAATTAAAAATCTTGTATAGTTAAAAAAAAAGATAACATATTAATAAACTGGGACAAATTAAGATTAGGTGGGTAATGCACGAACTATAAAGTCACTGTGGAACATGCAGAAATGGGAATTGTTTAAAGAAAGTTTGAAGGAAGTAAAATGTGGCCAAAATAGAGACGGGAGAATGATACTATATTTTTCTTATTTAAATAGTTATTAAAAGTAATGATAAAACAACTATTCACTAAAATAACATGTAGTTCCAGCAATAAATTTTAGTAATAATATAATATATTAAATACGTTAAAAATATATATCATATCACGCAAATAACTATAGTAGGTACATGAAATATAAGTTAAGTATTATTATAATAACAAGCATGAAATAATATTTAATTGAGTGTATAATTTTAGAAATAGTTTATTTTTTTAGTTATTGAATAGAGTAAAGAATTCAGACACAATTTTTTCCGAGTTCGAAAGTCTTAAAGCTTTTAAAATACATTCTTTAAAAATTGTATTTGATGCAGGTTAAGTTGGGCTATTTTTAATTTAATTAGAAAATTGTATTTGTTTTTACAATATTTCAAACTGATAAACAACTTTTTTATCTTAGAAAATTTTTTATTTATCTATCGCAAAAAATTTAATTTTTATTTTTATTCAAAACAGAAAATGTAATAGACTAAATAATATTGAATAGAATATACATACCACTGTGTAAGATTTCATGATTCTCGAGACTTCTGTATATTCGTTTTCGAAAATATGATGTACACTGATACCTCGAACCTGCTAGTTGCCATTTATATAGTCCTCATACATTTTTATTTCATCAATATTTGTTGTAAACAAAATTTTAATTACTTCTAGTGTATTGGCCTTCGGCTTATATGAATGTTATTCAAGGAAATACCCAAACCTCTCCTCAGTTTTTTCCTCTTCACGAATAAACCGGTTAACTTCATATAATCATATGATTTAATATTATAATAATAAACCGTAAATAATCGATTCTATATTATTATTATTATTATTATTATTATTATTAATGTTGTTTTTGATAAAATAGATAGAAAAAGTTTTTAGACACTTGATGAGAATTATTTTATTAAATGACTGTTATTTAAAACTAATCTTGTTAACATTAAAATATAAATAAACTTAGATAATTTTAAATTTTAATTTTCGATACATAAGGCACTGTCATAGATAATATAACTTTAATTCATAAACTTAAAAGTAAAATCTATCATAAATTTAGTTGAGATATTATTGTTTAAATTTTATGGTCACAAGACAGAATAATATAAATAGACTATACCAGTGGTTATCAACCACCGGTCCGTGTTATATTGGAAAAAATTATATTTTCAAGATATATTTATTTCATTTTTTTTTTTTTTTTTAATGATACACCGGTATCGTTATATTTTATTTATATTTATATATGCTTTTAACTTTTTAATAAATTTAATACACTAATCTGCAGGCAAAACTAAAAGAATAAAGCATAATTTTTTATTTTTTTGAACCAAAACCCAAAGTGGTTCTAGTTCAACTTAAAAGCCATCTAGGTGGTCCGTGACAACAAAAAAGTTTAAAACCACTGGACTAGACTAAAACATTATTTATAACTTATAATATTAACATAATTTATTCTATTCAGAATTTAGATATAAACGAACAATTTTTAATTATTTTTTTTCATATTTTTCATGTGTAATCTATGTACAGGACGAATAAGTCCAGATTAAAGTGATACAGGGGATAACTTGAAATTTTTTAATACATGAGTTCAGTGTATAAATAATAAATATACAATTTCGGAAAATTTAAATAAATATTATAGATAAATTCCCATAAAATATCTATGTAAATAATAAGATACGTATTTCATTGTAAACACACAATTTTGTTTTTCAAATACTCAAAATGTTATGATGATACCTTCTTTAATTATTAAACCGATTTTTTAAAGAAAATAGATAATTAATTAAATTTTAAAATTTATGCTTTGATTTATAATTAAATTATATTTCCCCTTTAATGATTTTGACAAAGTTTGTTAAAACTTGAAATTAAAATGCTTATAAGAATAAATTGTGAATTTTTATGAATCAATAAAAAAAACTTTTGAAAGATCTTTTATTAAATTTTCAAGTATTTTATTACAAAATAAACAAATATTTATCTAGATTTATGGAAATTAAATTAAAACAAATTTCAAACTTCAAATGTCTATAAATGTCTAGATCTTAACATGTATAGCAAATGATGAATTAAATATTTGAAAATTTCAAGTATTTAAATCTAATTTTTCTTTTAATTACAACAAAAAATAAAAATAAATCATTTGAGGAGAAATAATTATTTTATGGTTAAATATGTAATGTCGTAAAAATTTTATCTTTAAACGTTTATAAAAAATTAATTTGACTTTCTGGTAGCAATTGTTAGTATTTAGTAGTTTAAACAACTTATATAAAACCTTATTTTGAATTTTAAAATTTTAGAAATTAGGAAAAATGTTTGTGAATTTCTAACAAAAATAATAATTTGATTATTTTCGAGATTCTAAAAATTTCGACGAAATTCTTAATTTAAACGCTAGTAAAAAAATATTTTAACTAATTGTCCATATTTATTAACTAGTATTTAAAACACTTATGAAAAATCATATATCATATTTTCAAATATTTTAACACAGCGAAGACTTTATTATTATTAGCATTATATAAAAATAACTTAATAAAATATAAAAATTTAAGTTTTTATAAATAATAAAAATAATAATAATAGTTCAAAAGAGTAATATTTTGAAAACTATATAATGTAAATATTGAAAATAATAATATAAACATTTGTCAACATTTTAAAATAAGATATGTTTATTTATTTTCGAGTTATCCAAAAAAATCAATTTAGTCGAAAACTTGATTTTTGTAAAATTTACTGTTTTTCCTGATATTGTTATTTTTTTTCCCCAATATTTTACAAAACAACCATAAATCTTATACTGTTAAAAGTACTAACTAGATCTGATTTTTTATTCAAATCTACTCTCACAATTGAAAATTAAAACATTTTAAGTAAAAACTATCAAAATCTATTTTTATTGTGATTTGAAATTAATTTCATTTTGAATACTCATAAAATATTTTTTTTATGTCTTAATTTAAATTTAGGTAACGTTTTAAATATATTAATATTTAACAATTTATTTAAAATCAATGAAATGCATTTCCTTGACTGACTTGAGTAATTTTTTTTTAAATGTTCCACGTGTTTGCGTTTTTATAACTGGGATAGTTGAGTTCTATAGTGATTATCTCATGCTACGTCAATTAGATTCATTTCAAAATGATAGATCTTTTCATAATTTATTTTTTATTAGTAAATATTCAAAATTCGAATAACTAAAATGTATTAACTTTGTAAATCGAAAACTCAATATTATTTTATGATTATTATTATTTTTAATACCTTTTGTAATTTTCAGTAGGTAATGTTTAAAATAATATCCAAGGTTTATTTATATCATATACTCATAATATCACTATGTACGCATATATCTAACATGAAATTATTAATTTTGTTATAGATGATTGGTAGCTTAAAATTAAAAAAAAAAACTCATTACTATAATCTTCTCATAAAAAATAAACTTTACACAACATTTTTTTTGAATAAAATATATTTTTATCTAATATTAAAAATTGTAGATTTGTATCAATATAATGAATGATTGAAACGAAACGAATGACAATCATTTGAGATATCTACAGTTGAATTACTACTCTGAAAAAATTTGGTATTCGGAAAGAGTTAAAAAAATGTTTCTACGCAAATGAAAATCGCTTAACGTACACAATAAAAATTCGTAATAAACGTTTAAAATTTTCTATTTTTAATAGTTTTTTTTTTTTTTGTATTAATTAATTTAAGTTAACTTGGCTCATAAACTTTTCTAGCTATCATTTGTGTCTTTATGTCTAGGATAGGATTTTAGATATTTAACATACTTTACAGCTATTATAAATAACTATATGATAGAATCTGAAAAAAATTGCTCGCCTATTTTCATTTACATTTATTTTAAACTTAGTCTTTGTATTCAAATACATTTTTATATTGATAATACTTCTGCGATATACATCAAAAAGTTGTATCTAAATGAAAAATAACGATTTTAGTTATTTTCTTATATATTATTTAATATTAATTTTAGGGTCCTAAAACTTTCCAATATTATGTGTATTATTATATTATGGTTTTTTTTTTTTTTTTTTTTATAAGAAGCTAATCTTATTTATATTATTTAAATTACGATCACTGAATGCTACAAATACTCACAAAAACAACTCGAAGAATATAAACAATATTTTACTATACAATATAATATACATTGCGTTTTCAAGGGTAAATCATAAATTTAATTCGTTATGAATAAAAAAAAATAAAAATAAAAATATAATAATAACAATAATATTTTTTTATCCCGTATTGGCCGTATTTCAATATATTATTGGCCATGATTTTTAAATGCATAAAACAACATATTTTATTTGCGTGATACACGATAAATTCGGTTCTTTACCTTCTTATAACATTTAAGTTTCTATTTTATGTACTCATATGTACCTGTATGTATATTATTGCTTATTTAAAAATGTATTATTCAGTTCTAATAGTGACATATTTTTGCACTACTTTTGTGTTATAAAATAATGCCGTCACGCCGTTGTCTATCAACGAATAGCTTGAGTTTTGTTTTATCGGCACTAAATTACTTTAATCTTTTTTCTACTATATCGTACGTCAACCATTGTTATGCTATATAATACAGCACCGCGTATTTATCACGCCATGTTGTTTAGTCGTGTTTGCCGATTAAGTTTAATGTCATTTTGGGTGGCTTTTGAATTCGATTACACGAAATAACATTAATTATTCTATACACGTGTATTATATAATATATTATAAAAAAAGTACCTAATATATATTCTCAATTTATAGACATATATCAACATCGATAAACTTACACACATTTCAAATGAGAAAATAAGAGAGTACCTACATAAAGTGATTTTTCTTACTTTAGTATAAATACAATTTTTATTTGATAAATTAAAATATTTTAGTTACTAATAGGTATCATAATGAAGATATTATAAGTAACTTTCAACTCAGGCTATAAACTGTTTAGAATGAATAATTTTTACTACACGATATTTGATATTCCTTATGACGAAATATTTATCGAAGATAAACAAACATTTTTTTTGTAAGCTTGTTTATATCAAAAATAAAATATAAAGTATAACGAAAAAAGTGATTACGTCGTCTTTTTGGTATCACAATATAGTTTTACGAGTAAAACGCAGTTGTGTATTTATCCTTTACTTATTAAATGTAAGATATCCATAAATACTCCCCTTGTTCATGTTCATCTTAAATGATAAATTTATTCAAAACTGAAATTTTTTAAGTATATTTTAGATAATATTTTAAAATTCTATTCGATAATTATTACTTAAACATTTTTATGTACCTAATTCAAAATCCGGACGAGTATTTTCTAAGTTATTAAAATTATTTTACTAAGTATAATAACCTTTAAAAGTGGCTTTTAAAAAAATATATAAAATAGATTTAATATTTGATTTGTTAAACGATGATTCTTATTTGAAAAAAAAACAGTTTGTATTGGTACAGGACACTCCTTAAGTGCTAAAAAAATCTCAAGAATTTAGAAATTTGATCTTTAAGAATATTTAAAACTTTTAAAAAATATACTTAGAGTAACTAAATTTTT